TCCTCATATGCTCAGATAGTCAGGCGGCCATTCAATCTTTAACTTGCAATAAAATCAGATCAAAACTGGTCTGGGATTGCCTTCGAAGCCTGCTAACCCTGGCTAACCACAACAAGGTAACTCTCCAATGGGTGCCAGGGCATAAGGGAATTGAAGGCAATGAAGCAGCTGACGCTCTTGCCAGGCAAGGGTCTGCGACGTTGTTTATGGGACCGGAACCTGTATTCGGTATCCTCAAAACCTCAATACGCGGCTGGCTGGCAAGGTGGATGCAAGAAAGACATCAGGCATACTGGAAAATTGTCCCAGGACAAAGACACAGTAAAATGATGGTTGGAACACTGTCCAAAACAGTGACTAACGACATTCTGAGCCTAAACAGAAGTCAGATCAAACAAGTGACGGGACTAATAACCGGTAACTGCCCCTTGAGGAAACATATGCATCAAATGGGCATCTATACAGACGAACCCATATTCAGACTATGCAATGAGGAGGAGGAAACTGCCACTCATGTAATATTGGAGTGCGAAGCACTAGCGCGTTGGAGATACAACCTTCTGGGAGCAGTAAACTCTCAAGAGGCATTTTCAAAAAATGATTTGGTGGAGAGGCTGCTAAACCTCATCAAGGTAGCGAACCTGTTCACCTAAGTCAACAGCATGATCAGGAATACAATAGGCCCAAAGGCTGCAGTGTTTTGGGCATCAAACCCTGACTGATCATTCTGCTATTAATCAGTCAATCAATCAATCAATACAAATATCTACAAACTGAAATTAAGAAGATTTCGTTTCTAAGCAATAGTTTTCACAGCGTTTAGAATATAGTCTAGTCGAAAAATCCAAAAAAGGTCTCCATTAAAATTTTAGAAGCATTTCGTATTACTTTTTGGCAAAGGGTGTTTTTCTACTATTTCGACCCTGCTGATTACGAAAATGCCGGTTGCCAAAGCGAAATCGCAACCTGAAGTGAGATATTCAAGATGGCGTCCGAAATGGCATCAAAACAGAATTTTGCTGCGAAATCTCCCTTGTTTGAGGTAGGAACGCGACCAAAGGGTCTCTTTATATGTTTTCAGACATGAAGAAAACAAAAACACACAAACTAAACTCGTTCGTTGAATATAATTTCTAAAAAATATATCGAAGACTGGAACCTTTGGCACGATAATACACTACACTGTTTTACCACTAACCAAACCGATTTTTTAACACCTCGACACGTGTTTCGCTAACTATGTTAGCATCTTCAGGAGAAGATTAAAACTAAATATCCTATCCTAGTGTGCTGCTTATATACTAGGTATATGTTCACCCAACTGTGAAAAATACTAACCGTCAAGTTAATGTTTGTCATGGTTGAGTTCACATGTTAATCTAAATTTTTATTTTACTAAACTATATAGAGGGCTATATGGAATAGGTCCATTATCCTTATTCATTACTCTATTACTATTCTTAAATATTTCTAAGCTTTCATATGCGTCTAGTTTTCTAATGTTATTAACTTGCTTAACTAATTTGAGGTTAGTAATATGTGTGTTATGATTGTGATTGAACATATGTTCGGCTACACAAGATTTATCTAACCTGCCATATTTCAAATGGGCTATGTGTTCTTTGAACCTTGTTTTTATGGGTCGCCTGGTTTGGCCTATATATGTTTTATCACAATCATTACAACTTATTTCGTATATTCCCGACTTTTCAAGTGTGTCCACTTTATCTTTCGGATTGCCTAATAAATTGCCTAATTTTGACCCAGACTGATAAACGCTTTCAAAACCTAAGTCTTTGAAAACCTTATCAAGTCCCTTCGTATACTTGGGATTGTACGGGATTGGGATTCTTCTAGAGTTCTTTTTATCAGCTTGAAAAGTCATAGAATATCGAAGTGTTAACTTAAATTTATGTCTTCGTATTAATTTATCTACTATTTTGATATCATACCCATTGACGCTAGCCACTTTATAAACAACATTTCTTTCAGCATCGAATCTTTCTTTGCTGAGAGGAAATGAAATCAATCTGTGTACTAGAAAATTTAAACTTGCCATTTTGTGCTGAAAACAGTGATTGGAGTCATTAGGTATGTATCTAAATGTGTTAGTTTCTTTTCTAAAGACATCAAATTCTAAGTTGTTTTCGCTATTTTTGATCACAAGTACATCTAAGAAAGGTAATTTGCCTTGATTTTCGCATTCATAAGTGAATTTGATAGAGGGGAAGCAGTTATTCAATTTTGAAATAAAATTATCTATATCTGTGGTTTTCGTATCAAAAATAGCAAAAATATCATCGACATATCTAATCCAAACCCTAGGGAAATACTCGAATTTTTCTTTAGCATTTGCTTCAAATCGATTCATGAACAGTTCAGCCAGGAAAGGCGATAAACAATTTCCCATAGCTGTACCTTCATGTTGTTCAAAAAATTCTTGTTTATATTGAAAAATATTTTGGCTCATGCAGAGGTTAGTGAGATCAACCAATTCTTTAATATTATCTGGATCTAGATTGTTATATTCGAGTAATTCCTTCAAATATTCCAAAGTTGTTGGTATGGGTACACTTGGGAAAAGTGATGAAACATCAAATGATATAAGGATTTCACTTTCGGTCAGATTCAACCCTTTGACCTTTTCGATAAATTCAAGCGAATTTGAAACAGAATGATTGTTATAAGGATTATTCAAAGTTTTGAAAACTTCAACCAACCACTTTGAAATATTGTAAGTAGGAGACCCAATTGCGGATACAATTGGCCTCATTTTCTTACCGGGTTTGTGTATTTTTGGTAAACAATATAGTCTTGGTACACTTGGGTTAGATATTTGTAATTTATATTTGTTATGTGCAGTAATAAGGTTTGGGCATTTATTCAAAATTGATTTGACTTGACTGACCATTTTAGGTAATGGATTTCTCGTTAGTTTCCTATAAGGACCATCTTCAATGAGATTGTCAACCCTTTGAAAATAATCCTGTTTATCCAAAATAACAACCTTATTACCTTTATCGGCTTTTAGGTAAAAGCATTCTTTTTCTTTCAATCCTTTGATAATATTTTGAGTTTTCCGTTGGGAGTTATGTTTATGATTGATTACATTTTTGGAAATTTGTTTCCTAACCGCTTCTCTGGCAAATCCTTTTGAAGAATTAGGGAGATATTGAATCGCGGATTCAACACTCACTATTACTTCATCGAGACTGTCCTTTGAAGCAGAAGGGACAAAATTTAGGCCTTTATTCAGAAGGTTGAGTTCTTCATTACTAAAGGATTGAGAGGAATGGTTTTCAACAATGGTGATGGGCTCCTCATATATTGGTTTTGATTTATTTATTCCAAGTTTTTTCAGTTTTTTGTTCAGAGAGGAAAATTTCTGAATATATTTGACTTCAATTACGGCGAACATTTTTCTCTGGAATTCACACCATTGTTCAAACTCAATGTTACTTAGTCTATATGTTAGTTTTTTATAAATTTCGTATGCTTCAAGTTCAAGCATACTGCGTTTTCCATAGAGATATTTGATTTCTAAATCCAACCATTTCTGTTTTGCAAGAATTTCAACTTTCTTGGCAACATTTGAAGAATGTGGCAGAGTAATTTTCATGAAGTTCGGAAAGACTGAATGTTTTCGGCAAGATTTTAAGAACCAGATATCTGCACTAACTAAACTAATTTTAGTACTGACCTTGAAATACAAGTTCTGTTCCGTTGACCGTGAAGCCATCTTGATATATCGAAGACTGGAACCCTTGGCACGATAATACACTACACTGTTTTACCACTAACCAAACCGATTTTTTAACACCTCGACACGTGTCTAAAAAATAGTTGCCCTTTTTGGTTTTTAGCAAACAGTATACTTTGACTAATGTATTATATCGTTCTATGCACATTTGAGACATTTAATGTAACACTTAAAACAAAAGGTATTTCTTTAGAAAGAAGTGAAATTATTGTGTGTCTCCAGAGTTCAGGCAAGAACGTTTACAGGGAGTGCACAGTTCGATGCAAGAGACATTGGCTTTTTTACAACTGCAATTTTTTGTATTACAATGTCCTTTGCAATGACAAACAACTATTTCTGGGCACGTCTTAGGAATGGGATCCAGTGTTATTAAACGAGGAACAACTTGTTCTCTCTGCACAATCCAGCCACAGTCCTGCAGCCTAGGTAGTGACGGTTTGGGGATATGCGCATTCTCCCAAACACACACCTGAGATAAAAAAATATATATATTATATTCATTTCGTTTTCATTTCTGTCAATTTGCGTTTTAGGTACGCTTACCTGGTAGTTGCATCTCTTAATATGGAGACGAAGTGCATCAGTTGTCGGTGGGAGAAATTCTGGCTTTCTTACAGCTCCAAATAAATAACTTCGGGCATCGTTTGAGCATGTGATGCTGGAATCAACCTGTATGAAATCAGAATTTCTGTGTGTACTTCATTTTAATTCAATATCATCTGGAAGATATTTAAGTGTAAGCATTTTTACCTTATACAGTTTGACGACAAATTTCTCGACATTGCTAAAGACGTCCTCCTCAAGTGGCGACTGTCCGAGGCGTCCCAGAAGCTTGCAGTTTGTCCCAGAAAAAGCCTTCCATGCTCCAACTTTCGTGCGCAGAGACATTGAGGACTGCAACGTGCCGCTGCCAAAGAACTGGAGTAACTTCTTGTTTTTATCAGAAAACAAAACTGATTTATGCAGGTTTTTGTCCGAGAGAATTATGCAACATGCCGTTCACACCACAGCTCATAACGTTGTTGTGATGACGAGGGACACCGACGTTGTTCTTCTTCTTATCTACCATTTCGCTAAAATGAAATGCTTCCATTTGTGGGTAATGAGTGGCACTGCACGTGACACCAAGTACATTCCTGTACATGATATATGCAGAAAGCTTATGCCGGAACAAGTCTCCCATCTTCTTGCTTTCCATGCAATAACCGGCTGCGATTCGACGTCTAAGTTGGCGTCTATCACGAAAGTTGGAGCATGGAAGGCTTTTTCTGGGACAAACTGCGAGCTTCTGGGACGCCTCGGACAGTCGCCACTTGAGGAGGACGTCCTTAGCAATGTCGAGAAATTTGTCGTCAAACTATATAAGGTAAAAATGCTTACACTCAAATATCTTCCAGATGATATTGAATTGAAATGAAGTACACACAGAAATTCTGATTTCATACAGGTTGATTCCAGCATCACATGCTCAAACGATGCCCGAAGTTATTTATTTGGAGCTGTAAGAAAGCCAGAATTTCTCCCAACGACAACTGATGCACTTCGTCTCCATATTAAGAGATGCAACTACCAGGTAAGCGTACCTAAAATGTAAATTGACAGAAATGAAAACGAAATGAATATAATATATATATTTTTTCATCTCAGGTGTGTGTTTGGGAGAATGCGCATATCCCCAAACCGTCACTACCTAGGCTGCAGGACTGTGGCTGGATTGTGCAGAGAGAACAAGTTGTTCCTCGTTTAATAACACTGGATCCCATTCCTAAGACGTGCCCAGAAATAGTTGTCTGTCATTGCAAAGAACATTGTGATACAAAAAATTGCAGTTGTAGAAAAGCCAATGTCTCTTGCATCAAACTGTGCACTCCCTGTAAACGTTCTTGCCTGAACTCTGGAGACACACAATAATTTCACTTCTTTCTAAAGAAACACCTTTTGTTTTAAGTGTTACATTGAATGTCTCAAATGTGCATAGAACGATATAATACATTAGTCAAAGTATATTGTTTGCTAAAAACCAAAAAGGGCAACTTTGACCGCTTTTGTCATATTTTTTAGAAATTATATTCAACGAACGAGTTTAGTTTGTGTGTTTTTGTTTTCTTCATGTCTGAAAACATATAAAGAGACCCTTTGGTCGCGTTCCTACCTCAAACAAGGGAGATTTAGCAGCAAAATTCTGTTTTGATGCCATTTCGGACGCCATCTTGAAAATCTCACTTCCGGTTGCGATTTCACTTCGGCAACCGGCATTTTCGAATTCAGCAGTGTCGAAATAGTAGAAAAACAACCTTTACCAAAAAGTAATATGAAATGCTTCTTAAAGTTCAATATCCCAAAAATTTGTCTAGTCTAATACGTTCAACCCTGTAGGTACATGATATATAGCCTGTTCTCACTTTCCACCCCTCGTCATGGCAATCCGATGAACCCAATTTGCACTGGAAGACAGTCACCTGATACCTAGTGACAGATTCATTAGTCCTCTTCGGCGTAATGCAAAACGCCATTTTGCGGCTTATAAACCATTTTAATGGCTGCAAACTGTGCTCTGAGAAGGGCCGTTTCAGATATGGTCGAATTAACCTTTGCGATTGCGACAATTTACGATTGGAAGCTGGTTATAGAAGTGGGTTGCGACATGAAAGAGACTTTGTAGATTTAAAATTTGTACTGTGCTGAAACCTCTCATCACAATCGATTCTGCAGGAATTGAATTTGTTGTTCCTAATAGTTATTTATGTATCAAGGGCGTAAAGTAGGCGTTTATGGCCTGTGGCGTGAATAATGGCCCGATGGCGCTAGCCGAGGGCCATTACACGCTGAAGGCCATAAACGCATTTCACGCACAAGATACATACAAAATTTTATGCACTAGTGGTTTATTTTCTCACTCATAAGTAATGACTATGAATTTCGATAAACTAATATTCCCCAGAATGTAATTTGTTACGTATAAATTCAGTAATCAAGAGAAGCGTAATGTTCATGGATGATTTACATATGAAAAATATCGTATGAATATTGCAATTATCGTAATATTAAAACTCTTTCAGCTCTAGAAGAGATTCATTATTCAGACTTTTACAATATGCATACCCAGTATATAAACCTAACTTATTTTGACGTTGTCAATCAATCTGATGGTTGTTGTCTATAGCAATACATCCAATAAACGAGCTGAATTGTCATTCTTTGATTGAAAAGTAAAATTAGTGATAATAATAATAGCGAGACTATGGAATCGGATGAAGAAGAAGTTTATGATATACCACTGGATATATCAGAATCTAGGAATATGATCATAGGTTTTTCATAAATTGATATGTGGATATAAGGTGACTGAGAACAACGGGCGGTAAAGTGTACTTTACGGCCCGTGGGCCATAATGAGCCCGCGGGCGGTAAAGTGCGACTTAACGCCCGCGAAACCGGGCGGTAAAGTGCACTTTACGGCCCGCTAGTGCATAAAGCTCATTTAATGAACGAAGTATTTCATTTCCTTATTTCATTTGCCTACTGTTTTAGTGTTCCTCTAGTAATCACTATTCCGTTGGTATCCGACATAAATCCTCTTTGAAAATACCCCTCGGGAAAAAACCCTCAGGAAATACTGTCTCTGGAAAACATCTTCTATGGAAAAATTCCTCTCAGAAAAAAATCCCCGATTCAAAATTATCATATATAATACCACAAGTGATAATATTTTGCCGGAAATATTCGGTGATTGTTACGACAGCTTGTTGCCTAGTAATTTTGTGAATGACATTGTAATCAAAACTACAAGCCGTAGGCGAGTAGTTTTGGATCAATGTCATGAGCGAAATTAGAACAGCAAGCTGGAGTATGTCAATCGACGAATATTTCCAGGAAAAATAGTATCACGAGTTGTATTCGTATGACTATTTCATGATTGAATGAGACAATATATATAAGAAATAGGAAACATAATTTAAGTATATTCCAACTCGAACTGCGAAGAAGAACATAATGATAGTAATGAAATTCAGAATTTACTTTTTTAGAAATTAACTACCTACTTATAGTTATTCACAAAGTGGAATGTACAATTTTGATAAACAGTATTTTTTTATTATCTTGGAGATGGTTGCCCTCGAAAGAGTGTATACAATTACTATCCAAATCAGACAAAATAAATTGAATTTATGTGACATGAAGTAATTAAAAAAAAAAGATATCGTCGCCGAGGGCTCGAACCATCGACCTTCGTATCCTCGCGCAACAACCCTAACAGTTGCGCTACATCAGCTAGTAATTATATCAGTCAGTCACAATAACTCGAGTAATTGAAGAAGATTACTTCAAAAAGGAATTTGAATTCTATTATTGTTGTGTCAGACCGTCAACAAATATGCAAACTTTTTAAATTACACATGAAACGCCCAGCCAGAATAAAATTGTCTCGCCTTTCGTACAAAATATCTCACTAACGCGAATTATAAGTAAATAAAATGAAGTAGAAACTTAGGTTATTGTCTCAGATCTGAATCCAAAGCAATCTTGACCAGACACGATGTCAAAATTTTATCGCTGATAAACGAGGTTAGTTGGTCACGTGTGGGTCATTTCGGCTTCTGTATTGGTAGAGCGAGTCCGATAAAATTTAATAAACAAAAAATATCGCTAGAATACAGAAGAAACCATGAAAATGGTCGATTCTGATTGGTTCTCGAGATCAAGAGTGGAATAGTCACCTAAAATATCACGAGAGCTTCAATTATTTCCGGAAATTCTGTCGAGAACACGTCTTTGACTCGGGGAATATTCGGGTTCGAGAACAAATTCCCGGATATTAATTGAAGCTAAAGTAGTATTTGGTAAGAAAATGTCACAGTGAAATATTATTAAAAAATTACTTGGATAATGACGATTTTTGATGGTTCTGTTAATTTCGAATTTGCAAGTATATCGAGATAATCTGAAGTTGAATGTAAATGTCATTTAACCTATGAAAAAATTTCCAAGATATTTTGTTCAAGTGCTAGGTAAAGATACGAAATACAGGATTTATATTGATTGAAAATGTTTGTGTGAAATTTCCTCTAGAAAAATGTTCCTCGAGGATTAATATTCAGGTAGCAGGTTGGTTAAGGTTTACATTTATTTTGATGAAAATAAATATTCCTCGAAGATATTCCTTGAGGATTTAATTCTATACACAGAAACTTGATGAAGATGAATAGGTTTATCATTGAAATGCACAAAGAATAATTGATTCTTCCATATACTCGATAAGAAATCAGCAAATAAAAATGTTCCAATTTAATTCATTTTGAAATTTCAGCAACTGACGCGTATAATTTCAAATTATGTGCTATCCCTCTCAAGAAACTGATAGATAGCTGGTAATACACTATGCATTTTTTTGCGCAATATTCTGCACAAAAATCAAGATTTCAACTTGAAACAGGACATTTCAATGTATTCCAAGTCAATAAGTTGACGTTTCAAATTGCAATCTTGATTCTTGTATTGAATCAATGAGATGCATAGACACCCATCAGGGTTATATTTGCATTTGCATATAGCGCATATTTCTGTTTTTTCTCTTGTTCCTTCTCTAATCTTCTCAATATTACTGCAGAAAGTATGTTTCAGGTGATATACTTCAATGTTGATCTCTTACTTCTATATATAATTACTGGAAATGATGTTCTTGAAATGTTTTATTAAATTTTTATTTTCAATTTGATTTCGACATTGCTTCAAGTAGGTACCACTCAAATTATAATTACTGGACAACTCAATGAAAAATCAATCCCTGAAGAGATTGAACACTGACCTTAAAAAAAATTCTAACCTCAAATAGTTTTTATGATGTTTCTAAATTTCAAATGCATTTAACATCTATAAAATGATTACTATCTATCTGTTCATTTTCTAACTCAACTGTATTATGTAATTAGCTACATTATATTCCGCATCTGACGCTTACCAGCCTGAAATGTACATATCTTATGAATGTTATATGTTTTCTCGAATTACTTATGTAATGTGTTTCAGAAAATGTAACGGACGAACCTTCATGTATACATGGCAAGAGGGTAATAAATGTTCTATTCTATTCGATTCATATAATAAAAATATCTGATTTTTCAATTTCCACGAAAATTCGGACTGTGGCATTCACACCATGAACTAAGAATGGTACGAATGATTCTCACCTCTTAAACTTCGAACTCAGGCTGAAGATGGAGTTTCCTAAGCCCAAAACATGTTAATGATTACCTCTGTACATCATTAAATACTGTGAAGATGACTATGACCTTTCCTTCTTTTAGTTCTTCCCTCTAAATAGCTTATTCCTCATAGCTTTCTACCAGAATACTTTCCGTGCTATATGAATTCAATGATTTTCACAATATACTGAAACCTAATTGGATCGATCGAAATCCTTTCATTCCTTTCTTCAATGTATTTTTTGTTCGCTATATCCTAATTACTACTCTATTATATAATTGTTTTTCATGCACAAAGGCTAATACGGCGTGGTGCTTGTATATGGTAATGCCCCTATTACCCCAGATATATCTACGGGGAAGATCTCTGTTAACGGTTAATGTTATGCTCTTCGTCTACGCATCTTCGGAGTAATTTGGCGTAATTTAATGGATTCTGTTTAGGAACTCGCTGATTCTGTTTGCGAGATAACGAACGGAGAAGTGGGTCCGAGCTTCAGATTTTTCCTGGGATTATTTTCGGGAAGTGGAAATTTGAAGTTATGTTTACAATCAATTTGGCGCGCTTGTTTGTGTCCGAACGAAATATAGCACTATTTGTTGTTATGTGGTTGATTACTATATTGCGATTAT